AGGGATGGACGGGGCATCCACAGCCTCTCTGGGCAGCTGTTCCAGCACCTCACCACTCTCATAGAAAAGATCACATCTTTCTCTCAGGTATTTAAAACATTTAGATGTTTTACTAAGGGCTGGTTTAGTGGGGAAATATTGGTGGTAGGCGGGTGGTTGGACTGGGTGATCTCAGAGGTTTTTACCAACCTTGGTGATTCTATGATCCTATGAATAGTGTTTGTACACTCCAGGAATTCTTGATATGACATTTAGGATCTTAGGATCCCTTACAAAGAAGCAGCATTTGCTGTCCTAATCACAATATCAGCAGAGAATAAGCATCCAGCACAGCTGCCTTTCATAGTCATTGCCAACTTGCAAAGTTTTGTCAGTTTTAGACTTGAGTTCTTCCAACTAGACTTTGAACTGATGTTTTTCATAGAAAGGAATATGAAAGTATCACTAAAAGTATACCTTACCAAATCAGACAGAGAGCATTTAGCTAAGTTATTTAACTAATGACTGCATTAAAGTGTTTCACATAACTCATTTGGAGCAAAGAGCCTCAGTGTTACACTGTTCCATCTCGGAGTCACCAAGAGCAGTAAGGACCCGAGTATGATCTCTTCTATTTACACTTATATCTAAGCTAAGGATGAGAAACTGAGCGTTAGATGAGATACAAACTTGTTATTCAAGAGATACGTGAGGACAGGTTCAGGGGAGTGGAACTGGAACAGACAAGACATAATGCTCATTATTTAAATGGCCACCTTAGGAAGTGATGTTTTATTAATTGCTTTCCCAGAAGACTTTTGCACGTTGGAACAATCTCATCTTACCTTTGGAGACAATATATTGTGAATGTTGACATAGATAGGTATTAATGATATATATTAGAAAACAGTAGTATTTCTCCGAGCAGAACAAGAAGCTCTTTCCTACAAGTGCTCTGCGTGACCTGTAACAACAATCTCACTGAGTCCTTAAACAACTGACAAAAGCACACGAACAATTAATTTAGATCCACTGGCTTGTTTTCTCTCTATGACTATCAGAAAATTCTACTAAATGGAAAGAACTGATGAACCTTTATTTAGGACTGAGTGTTGAACTCACTACTAGCTGCAGCCTGCTTTTAGGAAGGAACTTCATATTTCTTGTCTGTATTTTGGCACGTGGTTATCAGTAAGAGAAGTGCAAAGTCTTAATCCCATATTGATGGTGATTAAATGCAAAACAGTAATTGCAGTTACTCCAAAAATGTAATTCTGCTTCTACTTTCTGGCTTTTATACAATTCTTGCCCAGTATGATTTCTTCAGGATTTCCTAAATGTGATCTTGATTGTAATCTTCATAACTATATGTAAGATCTACATTTCAAGGAATTCCCTTTATTGCTAGCAAGAAGCAAACAACCTCCCAAACTGAGATCTGTGAGATGTGGCTGTGCAGCATCCAGGACTTCATGCTATATCTCTGCATAATGCTGCCTTATCACCACAGCCTGTTGATATTTCCATGATGGAAATACCAGTCATACTTGCCATCGTGGTATTTCTACCTGGTACTGCATGCATAGCTTAGATTTATGTTCAGTGTCACCTTTAAGAAGTAAAACAATTCCACTTTTTCTCCAGACCAAGTGCAGGATTACTGCACTGCCAGAGCTACAAAAGCCTTCCCCTGGAATGATGAAACTATTTGCAGTTTACAGCCTTCTGTAGAATGTCACAGATAACAAAAGAAGAGGCTGGATCCCTGCAAGGGGCTATGGCTACAAGAAAAAGACATCTTCCTCTCAGTGCAAGACTCATCTTTGAGGAGAAATAAACAGTTCTGCCTCCAAGCACTTTCAGGGGTCTCAGAGCATTGGGATTTGGATTTTGGAGATATCTCTGATTTATCAAAGAGAAAAAGAAGGATGCCTGTTTAGGACCATATGATGCACAATGCAACAGAATACAATGAACGTTTCTCAATCTCCCCATTCCTCTTCAGAATCCTCTATATCACTCAGAAAGAATCCCTCTACCTGAAGGAGAAATCCTCCTCTGCTTACAGTCACGAGCATGGAGCAATTCTCTTGAACCATTTGAAAACAGCAAGCCTAGGGACACATCCACAGACCAAAACCACTGAAGAGATTACTTCTTTTATATGGACAACATATAACCGCCAAATAAATCCTGGAAAACATTCGGCCTAAAAAGGCTGAATAAAAAAAGTGTTAGCCTATGAAAATAGTGAGATTTTTGGTCATCATTATTGTTTTGATAACGTGTTAACATTTACAATATGTTGTCTCCAAGTGAAGATATAGGGATTTTTTTTGTACAGTCTGTACTAATAAATCTTCCTGTATCTGGGACAGATTTGTGGGAACCATTTTGCAGCAACGTGCTGTGGAGGTTGAGAAATTGCAGAAATAACATATAATGCAATGGCTACAATTGAAAGTCATGGCCTTCAATCAAAATAAGAGGAAAGAAAGACTACAGCATTCACTACCAAACCTTACGAGATGTTAAAGGCCTCCAGAGCCACCATCATACCAACTGCTTTGCCACAGGGCCTTATTTAGAACTCATCCTGTCCAAGAATCAGAATATTAATGCAAACAAGGAGCACCAACAGGCTATTTTTAAGAGAGGACTTCAGCAGAGCGTCTCCTTCAGATAAAGATAGAGTTTGATTAGATTGTATAAATGCAGTGATGGATGGAAAGCAAAGGATAAGGAGGCTATTGTAAGCAAATATGAATTTAGTGCTCAAGAATATCTTAATATGGAAATGAATAGGAGCTTTCTCAGCATCAGAATACTGCTTGTCCAACTATCTTCCAGTCCAAGAAGCACAACTTCTGTAAAAGCAGCCCTGTAATTTGACATGGTTTCCTGAAAGAATGTGTTTAACAAGTCAGATCTTTCACATTCTCATATTTCCAAGCATGCTCACAAGCAGGCTTGTCTTACAGCCATCATCTGAAGCAGTTGGATTTGGAAGCAAGGATTTAATCCTTCTTCACCTGCTATGCTCACACTACCACGTATGCAGTGCTGAGGAACAGGAGGTTTGCACTTTCTGCCTGCAGAAAACACATGGGAACATCTGGAGGAAAATGCCCTTCCAAGGGCTTGTCCTCATGACTGCCTTGAGAAATCTACCTTCAAATGAAACATCAAGACTAATTCTGGGAATTAGAAAACAGGCTCAAAAATGCTCTCATAACACCTGATACCATCATCAATTTGTTAACTTTTCTTTCAATTTTGGATGCTTCTTTTTGATGTCACCATCACAAGGGGTGAGATGCAGAGTCGCTGCATTGTACGTACCAACTGTTAGTCGTATTTCTTCTTCTTGGTTGGCCAAGCCATCATAATAATAGAGGTCAAACTTCCGCTCAGTTTTCCAGTCGCCTTGTAAATCCTTTTCCAGACAAAAAAGCACACTGAAGTGGCTTTCGCTGCATACCAACCAAATTGGGTATTTAGGAGTCTTCAGGTAACAACCAACCTAAAAGAAAGATTCAGAAGATTACAGACCAGGAAAGATCTGGTAAGTCATTTAGAGGTTCAAAGCAAGTATCTGGCCTTGATTATAAGTGATAAAATCCAGCCGTGGTACCCTTACAGCAAACAAGATCACAACCCAAATGATCAGAACAAGAAGAAACTCTGTCCTCTGAAAGAGCTGTAAAATTCATTTCTATCACTTCTCATGGGACTTATGTTTTAAGGCAGACATACCTATATATGCTTAAATACCTGCGGGGATGCATCTATTGCTCTGAAACATGGTGGGTGCTGATATAAAAAGAGCCATGGAGATTTCTGCATCCCCTGAAGTCAGACAGTAAAATGTAGTATTTTCTTCTACTGTGTTCTGAGATAGCTACCACTCTCCTGTTGCATGCCACTGTCTTAATCCATGACAGAATCACTGCCATGCTGGTTATTGGGTATAACCATCTTTATTCTACTTGAAGTTTTGTGTTTTATCTCCTAAACAGACATGGCACTGTTGGGATGATGTAGATCTGCAACTCAAGGGATGGCAGCCAAGCATCCAAGTGTATATGCAGGAAAATACAGCATCAGTTTCTGCCTCTGTAATACAGGTCATACATCACTAAAAAGCAGAAGTCAATAAATATTGTGATAAAAAGCCTAAATAGTATTCTAAGGCATAAGGAACATATCCTTCTTATTATTAAGATTTAGAACTCAAATCTGAAGTGTTACAAAATTATCTTCCCAAATGATAATCTCTTCTGATGCCGGATAACAGCTTACTCACTACTTAAGTAACTCCTGCCTGATTCATTGCTTTGTCAGTATCTATTTAAAACCGGCTTTTATACAACAGTTTTGTTTTTTAATTCTTGGCTTACATGTACTGCATTTTTTTACAAGCTTACAAAAACACTCATAACAGGAGTTATCAAGAAGGGAAATACACAGATGCAACAAAAGATGGCAAATTAGAGGGCAATGGATGAAAAGATTCAGTTGCACAAACATCCACATTTTAGTATCCTGATAAATCAAAGCCAAAAGGGAACAGTCACTCTTATAAAAAAAAATGTTTTCTTCCCATATATGTCTGCTAAAGTAACTTGTAAGCTTCATCAAACAACATTTGACAAAAAAAGATTAGAGAGATACAGAACTGTTTCCAAGCAGACATCCACCCCAACTCTTACTCACATGAACAATTCTACTGAAGTCAGGACAAGTTGTTCAGATGAGTAAGGTCTTGCAGGAACACTTTCCAAATATGCATAGTTTTCAATCACAATGCTATCAGAAGAAGGCAAGGCCCTCAACTTGAGGGCAACAATGAGAACATCAAAATGTTGCGTGTCAAATCTCATTTCCCATAAGAAATGGGAAGTCTCCAATACAGTTACACCACTTTTACTAGTTCAGAATCAGATGCCACTTTTAACATCACACTGTGTACCAGGAGTGGTCAGTGCCTCCTGATGTGCTTCTGCCCCACACTCTGTTTTACTGTCGTCAGCTTCTAGGGGCCTCTGGCTCTCCAGCTAAGTCAGGCTATTCCTACTCTAGCAGACAAAACAAGTTCAGGTTTTGTTCACAGCCTTAAGTCCAAGTGGCACAGAATGGTTTGTGTCCATATGGCTATAAGCAGCATCCCTATCATACAGCATTCCTCAAGCTACGTGTGCATTTCTTTCTACAAGAAGTAATAAAATGAAATTGAGAACCATGCTTCCAAACTTTCAGAAAATACACACAACCATGGATTCACAACCATTTGTTCTCAGATCCACGCCTTGGTCCTGGTTAGTTTTGCATCCAGATGTGGCCTGCAGCAATCCCAGACATCACTGCAGTGGTCCACCCAGCAGCTGGCTACTTCAATCTGTTTCTAATCTCACTTCCAATTTAACTGTCCAGAAAATTCAGTTCTGTGATGATTTTTTCAGCCAAGTTTCTTCCCATACAACAGTGTACTCTGTAGAACTGTAAGACTTACTGAGCAAAGAGTCCATAGTGAAGTCTAACAGCAGCCCAAATCCAAGGAATTACATCTTTCAAACACATTTACTCCATTCTCTTATTGCCTTTCATCTCCTGACGTGCATCTGCCATGCAGGAACAAACACACAATCCCAACCACTAACAGTGTCACATGTTCCCTTTGCTCTATCTAAACACTCCCATGCCTCTTCATCCTTCTCCATACAAGTATGTGCCATGTTTTCTGCTGGCTCTCCTTGGCCTTTTGACAACTACAGACATCTTCCAGCAGTTCCCCATCACACAAGCTCTCTGTTACGTCAGCGAAATACTTCAAACAAAACTCAGAAAAATACACAATAATCTGAGAAACAGCCCATGAACTCCAGACAGGTGGGAGCAGTCTCCCTTAAACATATCTCCATTTAATGAGGTGATAAGTAAATTATACATGTCCTGTAGTCTTTGATATATGCACGTAGTGATCACGCTGTGCAGCAACATTCCACTCATGCTTATGAGCATCACAGTGGACAAAATAGCCCCTCACCTTCACTGTGAGGATTCTCTTGCTCACTTTTTCAAGCATCACTTGCTGAGTGGGCAAAAAGAATGTCGCCATTTAACTGGTCCACCTGCTCAGTGGTGAGTGCTTCTTCAGTTGCCTGGCCAGATTGTTGGGTGATAACAAACCTGGACTGTAACAGCACCTTGGAACAGGACACTGAAGGACAAGAATGAGCATCTCGTGATCTGACTCAAAACCACTTAAGCTGACTTTGAGTATGCACCTTCCAGCAAGTGCTTCCAGGAAACGGGGCCCTTCTTTCCACCTGCTGTGAGCTGCCCTACAGATGTACTGACAGCACTGACTTCCAAAAGCAAATCAGGAGTACATCTGTTTAATCAAATATCATTATTTTTGTTAAGGGCTCATTGGCTGTCTTATAGTTTGAAGAATAGAAGAAGCTTCTTGTGGTATCATAATGCATTACAAAATAATAATGTATTACTATTCAATATTTATTTTCAAGCTTGCTCATTAACCTTTGCCAAGGCAAAAAAAAATAAGAGGGGGAACGTGTTAGATGTCTTTTTCCAATTCCTAAGGAGACTTCACCGAACAGTAATCGTATCCCTTACAAATCCTGTAAGAATGCTCATAAATTTCAGAGACACAATCCTCATCTTTGGAAAATGTCAACCTTGGTAAAGCAAGCACTTTCAAAAGGCTCATTTTCAACACTACGGGTGGTCTTTTTCCACATATGACTTCAGTGTGTATTTGCACAATGGTGAAATTAAATCAGACAAATATTTACTACAGGAGAATTATTCATATGTAACTGCCAACATGAGTGTATGGTACTGCACCATTCAGACATTATTTCCTCATTGAGCAAGGCTTTTGCCATATGTATTCCAAATGAAACAAACAAACAGCCTATCGTTTGTTCTTTTTCCCCCAGTTGCCATGGCCTTTGCTGGTTTGAATTAACATTAAACAATGTTCCAACAGTGTTCGGACAGAGGACTTAATGATGTAAAAACAGACACCCTTATAATAGCTTGGGTGGTTGAGGACACAATAGACTCAGATGACCCTTTCCACCACCATTAATGGAACAGCAGGTCAACCTATTACTAATATATCTCCATTTACACTTGTATTGTTGCTACATGCTATTATGTTTGCATGTTATTAAGGAACATTGTCAAGTTTATTTTCATTAAATACGTACTTAATTTTAATTTCTGATTAAGACATAAAATTAATGTTCACAACTTCTGATATTCAGACTATGTGCAATTTAATGGCTATGCCAGGTCAGGCAGAGATTGAGGCATTTTTTTAGCCAGATATTTATTAGCAGTAGTAAGAAAAAATTATAGATACATGGGAGTCATATTTTCCATAGCTTTGAGTCCTTTCTGATGGTGAATTTGGGGGAAAAAAGTACATAATTAATGGAGAAGAACTGAAAAAGATGTGTGCTCAGTCCCAGGATGACCAAAGGAAAGAAAAGACTTGGGCAGCACTGATTTTTTACTTAGGTCTATAAGAGAACACAGCAATTGTAGTAAGGCAAAAAGATCTCCAGGTGCCAGGTAGCCTCGAGATCGTTCCTTTATCCTTGTCCCATTCTGCTGCTTTTCTTGTATGTCCCACCACGTGAAGTAATATCAAGGGAAAATCACCCCCTCATTCAGACTTCAGGACTTTCCCATTCCTTAGGCCAGGTGGAGGAATTTATACTAATTTCAATCTCTTGCTTTACTGCAATGACAAAGATAGGTCAAGATTCAGTCCACTTAACTCTAACATCTATTTGTTGGCCCTCTAATTTGGGTTGGCCTCTAGGCTTTGGCTCTCTGTAAAAATCAAGAAAGAAGAGAGAAAGTTTGATGGGTTCAGTCCAGACCAAAATACCAGATATCTACAATATGAGCAGATACGAGGACAATATTTGACTTAACATTTTCTGTTATGCATTTAACAAACAATGCAAAGTTCTTTTAAATGTGAAGTTTGTCTTATAGTCTTACATTAAAACGCTGTGATGGTTTGTTATTTGGCAGAATTTAGACAAGAAATCAATGCCAATATTTCAGCAACAGTGAGTGGCTAGAGGGAAAAAAAAAAAAGTCACAGAATCACACAGAATCACAGAATCGCAGGGGTTGGAAGGGACCTCCAGAGATCATCGAGTCCAACCCCCTGCCAAAGCAGGCTCCCTACACCAGGTCGCACAGGTAGGCGTCCAGGCGGGTCTTGAATATCTCCTGGGAAGGAGACTCCACCACCTCCCTGGGCAGCCTGTT